TTGAAGTTGAAAAAGACGTTCTAATAACTTTGTTAGAGGAGCAATTCAAATCTTTTTTATTCGTAATACTAAAACTTTCTAAATTAAGAAATAACGACGTTGATTTTATATCCGACACCAATTTAATGAAGAAAAAACAATGACTTACTTCAAAGTTATAGCTATAATAAATTAATATTTGCAGAAGACTTGTGAAAAAAAATGGTATATAATTAAAAACAAGACAACCCATAAATACCTAAAGCAAGACATTTAGAATACAAGTCTAAATCATTTTTTATTTTTGAATGTTGGTCTGTAGGGGGTATTGTTTGGGGGGGGGGGGGGAACGGATGGGTTTGGAGAAAAAAAAACGGCAGAAAACGATCACATGAGTATATCAATTTAAAAAGTTCGTTTCAGTCTAAATTTATAAAGTTATTAATTTTTTGGCACGTGGTGCCCCAATAAATAACAGAACGTGAAAAATACTTTGATATATTATGGCCGTCATATCTTACAAAAGCCATTTTCAATAGGGATGCTTTGGAAACCATCATGCTCCACCGGTTCCCAGTACTTTTAGTGTTTTTTAATTATGAAACAAAAACATGTACTAACCATAGTTTGTTTTATTTGACACGTCCTCTAGACTATGTGACATGTTATGTTGTATTATATATTTATATGTTATTTTTGGTTTTGGAGTGATATATGTGGATATAATTACCTGTTAAGATTTTATATCACCCGAGCCGTTAGGCGAGGGGTTGATATTTTAATCTTGGCAGGTAATTATATCCACATATATCACTCCAAAACCAAAATAATAATTTTATTACCCTTCCCCTGCCGAGTTTAGACGATTTTTAAAAAATCATTTCTGTTTCAAATGAAACGTTTCGAAATTAAGTTCCCTTTAGGGTACCTCTTTTCGTCACAACATAAGCGTCACATAAAATACATGACGTATTTTTTCCAGTATCTACCGAATGTAAACAAGAGAAAAGGAGTACGTCTATTAGAACGCACTTTTTTGGGTAATTAATATCAAGCTTTCACAAGGTCATATTTGTTTTAGATACTGATGAAAATATGTATCGTTACTCTACTTTGGTAAATATTCATCATTTGACAATTAAAAAGTGCTTTTAAATCGGAATTTACACCGCGTAAAATCGAACTGTACGCGCATCACCTCAGCGCATGTTGTTTACAACGTTGGGTACCCAACGGGGAAATTTAGTGTGTATATTACCCGTCTGGCTCGGTTATATCAATTTCTTTCGGGTGATCAATATCCAATCAAAAAGGCGGAAAAAATCTGGAAGGGTAATAAAATTATATATATTTGCAGTTACAATACAAGTTTAAGTTTGTTCTTTATTGTGAATGTGTAGTTATGGGGGTAGGGCAGAAGAAGAACGGAGTAAACGATCACAGGAGTATTGAACTAAATATAATGTGTTGTTTACAAGTATCAAATAAAATGTCTGTTCTCTTTATTTGTCACGTTAACTTTGATCACGCCTGTGTTCCTATACAGATTTTCGAGATCGCTAAGATATATTTAAATTGTGTAAAAAGTTGGTAATTCATTGACCTTTATATAATTTCCCTAGTTTCCAAGTTTTTAAAATGATTTATAATCTATTTAGTTATGCTATTTATTCATTTATAGAGACTAAAATTGAACATATTTAAGCAAAAATAAGGTTACGATGACATTGACTGTGAAAAAATTCTTTTCCCTATCGATCAAACCAAGCAAGCATAAAGTTTATATACTCCTTAAAATAACGCTTCATCTTATTTAACAAGGGCATTGGTATCATTTATTCAAAACTATATTTTTATACTCACTCATGGCAGTGAAACAAAAACTACAAGAAAAAAAATCAGAACGAGAAAAAATGCCCATTACCGCTGTAAACCATAATATCATAAATTTGGATGCACTATACGCGAAAAGCATGCGCATTGTCGAACAGAGTTCTCGTGATCAAAATGATGATATATAAAGAATGACAACGGCACCTTTTGTAATTGTAAATAACTAAAATAAGGCTAATACTCATGTCCTTGTTATCCACATGGTTAGATGATTCCTGGTATGCATCTCGGACATTGATTTTTACTTGCCTTATTGAAACAAAGCACTTACGATGTGTGTGTTTTTTAAAGATATTGACTCAATCATCCAAAAAGGTTATCTGCTCGCTTTTTAAGCCCATTATTTCAAGTTGCAAAGAATGATATTTCATAATCCACACAAGATTTGACCGGACCTGACAAAAACACAGCAATAAAACAAACAACAACAACAGCAGCAGCAGCAACAACAACCAACCCAACCCAAACAACAAAACGCTAGGAAATAGTCATATGTTTCTTACCAAAGCTAAATTATGACAGAATTAACAACCCCAAATTGTCTATCATTTTTGCAAAGACAGACAGAGAGACGGTCAGACAGCAGACAGACACCGGGTAGACAATCAGAGAAACAGCAAAGATATACCAATTAAAAGGACCACGGGTTAAGCGGATAGACAAATACAGTTAAACGGACGCACTTTGATAATAATTTGTGCAAGACGGATAAGAAACCTAATATTTTTGTATCGGAAATTATATCTTGTCGCCCATTGCTTGTTTATACATTGAAAAATGCATTTTGTCCTTGACACATAGATAATTTAGGAACTCTATCCGGCCAAAAAAAAGTAACATCAAAAATTTTGAAAGGACGATTCGGTGAAAAGCGTCTTACAGAGATCCTCGATGAGCTTCTTTCCGGCAACAAGTACGATATTGCACTTATTGGTGATCTGTGCGAAAGAATCCCTATAGGCCGCTAACAATGCATTTCGGATTTTCTTGAGTGGGAAATTCCTTTTTGTCAGACATTGCATTTGCTGTCGAAAATTCAACCTTAACAAACTGACAAAAGTTTGATTGGGAATGCTATCATAAAAAGCGACACTTTTGAAAAAAAAAAAGAGTTTCAAATTGAAAATCACTTGGCTCGTCCATACTATGAAATGTTACATTCAAATGTACATCTAGCATAAAAGACTTGCGAGGAAACTTTCTAAATATGCAGATTAATTAAAGAATGTCAGTTAGCTCTTTACATCAGAAACACTTAATCTTTCTTCCACCCGGTTTAAAAAAATTAAAAAATGTCACTAAATTTAATAATATTCAATCTGAAGTAGAAGCCAACTCATAAGATCTATCATTTAAAAAAAGTAATATATAAAGACTTTTAGATTATTACTAGTGTAGCCGTACAGGCTCAAGCTCCTTGTAGAATAACGTTGCAAGATTGCCGTCTTTAATCTGCAATTTCAATAAAGTCTGTCAAGCTTATTGATTAACCTTATCCTATCAAAATGTTTGAATTTGCCACCTTGAGAAATATTAACAAAGTCGCCTCATTACTAAATTACCACAATCATATCAAGAGTTGTTGATTGAAAAATACTTTTGACAAGCATGTCAATTACAGGGTTAAAAGTTTATCACATGCATCTTATGACCATATCATTTTGATGCTTTTCAAATCATGTCATATACACACGTGTAGGCCTACAGTGAAATGGCAAATATGAAAACATTTAGAATGTCATTTTCTTGAAAAGGAAATCAACAGGTGCAATGCGAAATTTATATTTATAACACTACACTTTTAGATTTTAGACAAATATTTATTTTGATATAAATATGAATACAAATATAAAACAATAGAAATATTTAATTTGTATATTCGTTTATAAAATATTGCTTGAAAGAAAATGTTGGTAACGTTTTAAGTGATTTAGTATGCACATTTATGTGATGAATAATAACAACTAGTTATAGAGCATTCTATTACCTGCAATTAAAAATATATGTAATATTCAAATCATGTATATCACATTTACCAACAATATCCATACAAAATTATTTCATGGTTTGGTAGCAGCGCTTTCGGTGTTTATGTATGATACTTAACGCTATCAACATTAATTAGTTATTGTATGACAGAACATCCATTGTAGACAAATTCACTTTTATAATAGATAGTTTACTGTATCATCAATGTTACAACATAAAATATCACAGTATACAAGTCTACGCCCAATTAAGCATTGCAAATATATACAGAGTTATAACAGACATTCAAGTCATATTAACATGTAATTTTTCAAGCAACATGTTTTAAATGATAAAATATAGGGTATGACCCACCTAATGCATTACCTCCACTTTGAAGAGTACTCAAATAGGCTAGAACTACTGTCAACTGCATTGAAACTGAGGGGCGCGGGTTCAAGCCCCGGAAGAGGCAACTTTTTTTTCTTTCTGTTTTTTTTCTTTGAACATTATTTGTGTCTCTCAGATCACTCTTGATAAGAAAAAAGTGTTTCATTTTAATTATAATGTTATTATTGGTATTTATTGGCTAAACTGTGCCAAATTTATTATCAAATATGGTACCTTGTATTTTCAAAGTCTAATAAAATAAAATCTAGACGTTAAAAGTATTTTATATTTGACAAGCGCAACCAATATACCTTTAAGAAAATTTATGCAAACTTTGAAAACAGCCCCTGATTTGAGTAAATTTTAGGGATATTTTGAATAAGGCCCTCTAAGAAGAAAAATGATCAAACAACTACTTAAAATGGGTGGGGTAGGGTAACATTTATATACATATTTCAAATATTTTGAGTAGAAACAATAATTTTGCTGGGTCATTTGTAAGCTGAATGCTATTATTTGTTTCTTAAAAAATTCTATAGGAAAACATTAGTTCATAATGATTATAAAATAGAATACTTAGAGTTTCTCATTTCTGACAAAGAGCCCTTCTAATAGCCAAGTTTTACTTTAGAAAAATCTCCATAGCTCGTAAACCATACGGTAAACTTTGTTTAAATTTTGGATTCTTGTGTCTTTTAAAGTATATAACTGACCTATGTTGTCAATTTTATAGTTACTTATAGTGTCCATTATGGGGCTAAAACCTTAACTAATATTGAAAAAAAAAAAGAATTCATAGAAATTTGATAAAAAAAACAAAAATGTAAGATTATGGTACATTTGCATTATGATAAATATGTTAAAAGAAAATAACAGCTATGGATGAGCTGTTCAATAAGTTACGTCATAAGACATTACATTATTTCTGTCAGTTGTGATACTCTATGCAGAAATAAAAAGACTTGTTCAATAGAATTCACTCTACCTGTTCAAAACATATATGAAACATTATTTTATCTATAATTATGTAGTGTACGACTAGCATTCCACTTTTTACGAAGCACTTATTTAAATAAACTGTTTGTACTAATTTCAAGTATTTCTAAACAGGATTAGGCAGAGAAAATTATAATTTATTCATCAGATAGAAGGAAGCATAACTTCTCAACATCCCTATTATTGAATGTAAATTTGTACATATAACGCCTAATCTGTAGACGACCAGGGGCTATGCCACATCTAAATTTTATTTAAGCAACTCTGCATAACAATAATTATATAAAGATATACTATGCTTATTTTTAGTTTTATCGCAGAAACATATTATATAAAAGTGAATAGAGTTTTAAACATGGCATACCTACTTTGAATGAAGTCGAAACATGTTCATTTTATATTTACAAAGGTACTGAATAGCAATTATCAATATTTTCAAACATCAAATTTGAGCATAGTATGAAAATTCAAACGTTTGTATTTTGCTATCAAGACACCCAAAGTTATGGTAGTTGCACGCGACATACATTTGTCCATTGCATTACAGTCTACATGCGCACTCAGTACCAAACAATGGTTAAAATTGAGAAACAGTTAGGCAGGTTCTAAATGTCACAACAAATAATCATATGCCATATAAACATTTAATAATTAAAGTTGTCTATTATAAGATAAAATCAAACAAAACTACAGCAGCAATAAAGGTCGAAGAGTACAATTGATCATTCTAGGTACCTCCCCTGGTGTGTCTCCATTATTATTTAACAATTGTTAAAGTCAACTCAAATGGTCAAATGATAATGCAGATTTTGATTCATAAAGAACTAATTTTTTTATCACTTTAACGGATATTGTTATCAACAATATTTCATAAACATAGTCGAAAGTCAATCTTATCAACAAATTTGACACTGTGACTCAGTATCTTAAATCACCCGCCGATACATTGATATCATTCGTTGCTACTCACCGTCGTATCGTAACTAAGAAAGATGGTTTCTTAACAGACAAAATTATTGTGCTGGAACTTAACCATTGTATGTTAAAGGATTCTTTTAGCGATAATTTGGAAGTGGCTATAATATTGTTTGTCAAAACAAATAACTAAAATCAATGGTTATTGAGACCACAACGTCTTGTTTTTACATACTTTGGTAGTAACTAAAATATACTGATATTTAAATGGCAACTGATAGCAATAAATACTCCATAAACATAAAGGCCAATTTTGCACTATTTTCATTCTTAACCATAACCTTTTACAAAAAGAAAAATAGATACTGTATTACTTAATTGCAGAAAAATATATGTCAAAAGTACTAAAAACCACTAATCCTTTTTTTCTGATCCGATATTAACGGTAACTTTGTTTTATTAAGAAAGGAAGACGATGAAATAAAATGTATTTCTAAGTGTATAATTGCTAAGTTTGTTTTGAAACGAACGATGATTTCATATAAATCTATTGACTACTAAGAATGAATTTTGTTTGTCAACAGTTTTCTTGACCGGGCCAATCACCAAATGAAACTGATATAGAATATCACTGACAAATATCAACAAGAGATAGCGACTTTCAATGAACGCCGTCCTGGTAACATTCCCATTCACAGTACCAATGGGAAAGCACAGTATGGAGCGTGGAGAAGTCTGGTCATTGATCCAGATTGACGAGACAGATTCTGTCGAGCGTTGGATTGCAATTCTTTGCTCAATTAGTGTGAGTTAATTTAAAATGTAATTAATAGCCTAAGTTCAGTATTTCCGATACTAATGATTTGCAAGATTTGTTCCATTATTTCACATGCATGCATATTTATTCTAAAAATACATTGAATACGATGTTTTTTTTCCTTTGAATTTGAAATAAAGAATTTTGAAAAATTTATGGAAAAAATTTACGATTCAGTATTATTTCCATTCCATATCATTTAAACACAATATGCCATCAATATTTCCAAACAATTATCCACAGCAAAATAAGACACACATTCTATTTCTTGTCTCTACGGCAATGGTTTTCATAAAAGTCACAATGTATTGACATGGTGTGGCTAAATGCCGACTTTATGTTTTAAGACACATCGTTATCATGATATATAGAAAATAACTTATACAAAGTAAATTTCTGTAAACAAGTGAAATATATATTTGATCATTGAGCAGTTCAGTTTTCAAACCGTTCTAAGTTAAGATACAGATCAATTTATTAAATAAATTGTCTGCCATTTGTGTTTAATATAAGAAAGCATCATCCCTGTAAAATTTGTACCGTAATTTAGACTACAATAATTTCCTAACTGTGTTTACATAATTTCTAATGGTATTCCATTCATTTTCCCTTAATAACATAGATTGCCTACTTGAAGATATTACAAAGATTTTTTCATTCCATGATGTAATCAAACAATCTGCGTCTCTATAGGCCCGAAATCTTAACGAAACAACATCTTCCATTTTTGGTGTCAGTCTATCAAGTAAATCACGAATAATAGCTTCAGTCACCGCATCATCTAAGAATATTTTTTCTTGTTTACATCCTTTTTGATTCCGCCTATTCTTGAATAGCGTTTCCTCGTCTTGTGTTAAACTATTTTTATTGCCAGTTTCTTGTTTCCGTCGATTTTGCTTTCTTTTTGTCCTCGGGTTTGGACAAACATTCCAACGTTTACCTTTTACTTTTGAATTTCATAGTTATCTGTGGTTGTCTGTGATACTGACAGTTGCCATTCGCTGAAAAACTTAACGGTTTACTTATAAACTCACTGCTTTCAGGCTTTGATATACTTTCATGTAAACCTTCATTACAGGTATGATTTGATTCATTTAAGTTTGATGTAAGATCATCATTAATTAATGACCCAGAACCGTAACCAGAGCTGAAAGCATAGCTAAATTCTGTTGAAGAACTTGAAGAAAGTAATTCAGTCGGTTTTGATGTAGATATTTGTGTTTCCGATGGCAGTTCAGCTGAGAACATATTTGGCGGACAATGTGCATTAAATGAATTTCTTTTAGATAAAGAAACGCGAGTTTTATCGTGCACCATTTTGCTGTATTTAGATTTATGATTGCCCTTTCCTCTCTTACGATTCTGATGCTGAAGGCTTATCTTTTCTTCTCTATCATGCGTTGACCTATCGTCAAGTCTCATGTATTTTGTACTTACTTCAGAGTCATCATGGCATCTTCTCCGTCGTATCTTTCGATGAATTTCGTAAACACTATCATTATTTATAGTTTTTACACAAACCTTTTCTTCTATGTTTTCAGAAAGCAGTGAAATATCTCTGATTTGAGATTGTCCTTTATCTGAAGATTGTATCTGAAATAACTGGGGCTGTGGGAGGAGCACTTGCCCAGTTTCGACAGTCCGATAGTCCGGAATGCTGAAATTAGTCCAGCTCCTGTTTTCTGGCAAATATGGTGGATTCCTAAGAGATAAATGTTAATTTGAACCACGGATAGCAATTTAAAATGTATGTTATCAAGAGAAGGACAAAATCCTTTAAGATAATTAGAAAACAACTGAAATTCTATTCAATATATTTTTGATTTATAAAACAAGTAATTATTAAGCATAGATAAAGTTATTAACACTTTTTGTATGGTTAATAGGGAAAATGAGAAAAGAACTACCTCATAAATTCTCGAAAATATTTAAGCTGTGCGTTCCACTCAAGAGTTTCAAACACCACTTCAATATCCTTCGGTTTTGCAGACGAACCTGCTCCATACATCCAGCGTTGAAACAATGCAAACAATGTGCCCATTACAGAATTTTTTTCCCGTTTGACTGATTCAATTATATTGTTTACATTCGTAGCGCCTGCGTTTTCTGATGACATAAATATGTAAAATTGTTTTTGCAAATACATGGGTTAACCTTTCACCATATTTATCATACAATATAGACACATCATCATGGCAATAACATTTATACAAATGTAATATTTATAACATTTAAGCTTATTTCACTTGTATCACAAAATCGCTATTAAGGACTATTGACGCATCTCTAAGTTGTCCAAACTTTCCTTAAAAAATCGAAAAATTCAATATTTACTCAATGTCATGTCTATATTTTTAAAGAAAAAAGCAGAAACAGATAGCCACCAATTCAGTGTAATATTATTAAAATAAAAGAACTTAAATTATTTAGTTTAAGATATAATTGACAAAGAAGTCTTATTGCTTACCAAGAAGATGAGTAAAAAATATTTCGTAGATCTTTGGATCTATTTGTTTGATGAGAAAGCAAAATATACGTGACCAGTCAAGTCGTTCTATTTCAAGATTTGTACCTGCAAATAATACGTGAAATATACACGCACAAAACTGTTGTAATATTTATATTGCCATTTGATTTTTGTTTAATAGGTTATTTACGAGGTATGTTAAAAAAGTTCGCGGACTCTTGCTGTCATTTTTACTCGGTTCATACAGAAAACTGTTAATATAGATTGAAAAGGTGTCTTTATTTCTGAAGTCAGTAATAACCATAGTAACACAATATCAGCGCAAGCCGAAATGCTTACACAAATTATTAGGTTTAAGCAATCTTGTATTAATAAGGAGACAGACGACAACACATGTTGATTTACATACAGTGGTTACCTTCTAAAACGCTAACACCATTGGAATTCTCAACTATTGTGGAGCAATCCATAGGGTCGATATTCTTGGTTGGAGATTGCAAAACCGTTATTTTCGTCTTAACTAAATTATAATTGTCTGCAACCTTCTCTTTAGCAATGAATGAATCGAGTGTTTCAGACTTCATTTCATATTTGACAAAGACACTAGAATGCGGCGTTTCATCAGGTAAAGTTAAATTCCCTTTGAAAACTGAAAATGAATTACCAGTAAGTGTTAATGTATAGTAAAGTAGCAATATAGCAAGGTAGTAATGGAAAACAAATACAATAACTAAGGAGCACAAAGGCATATCGTCTTTTTAAATAAAAGGTTATACATTTACATAAAAATGGTTCATTATTGGCAAAAAGGTAGCTCCAAATAATATGGGAATGTAGAAATAGCATTAAGATATTATTATCATTAAAAATATAATTAACAACTATCAATGCATTATTGCATGCATTAAAGGAATAAATATTTTAATATCGATATCAAACTTACGATCTTTTTCTACTTGGTTGCTTATGTTTGTGGATATTAGTTCACAACTGTTTTGCCAACTGCAATGTTCGGTGAGAATTGAACTTTGACTTCCATATCCAGTTGATGTATCATCATCCGTATTTGTTTCCTTTTCATATTGCAAAAGCGTACTTCTTTCGTTTTCTTCTTTTGATGAATTGTCTTCTCTTAATAATTGCATTTCTATGTGAACATTTTCGTCTTCTAAAATAAAAATCAAGTTTATGGTATATTATTAACAGGAGATAAAAAGATAGATAAAAATACCAAAAGTATTGAGATCACGCCTTAATATATAGATTGTAGAACATACTTCAAGAATGTCAATATTAATAAAAATATTTAGTGGCGTCTTGGCCGAGTGGTTAACGCGTCGAACTAGTAATCTAACACTTTGCTCCCTGACCGCGTGGGTTCTAACCCCATCAAGGGAAAACCTTTGCTTGCTCGAGCCAGAAACTTTACTCTCATTGCCTAGTTACAGTTGGTTCCAGACACGAGAGTGTTTAATAAGGTTATAGCTTCCATCACGATCGAATTAAAATAAATTCGTATAAGCTAAGTAAAATATTGCATAGTTAGATCTTCTTTAAAAAATTAAAGGTATTTGCTAATCTTTGAACTTCTTTAGAATGTCTGTATTTATCATAATGCTTATGGTAATGAAAAAGATAACACAAATGTGTTATTTTGAATGTCTTACCAATTTCTGGCACTCTTATAATGGTATTCTTTTTCCATACCTTTTTAAAAGATCGTCTGAAGAGGGAAGAGGAAAATATTAAAGAGAAAATGTACAGCTTCACAGACAATTTACAAAACTACACACTATTAAAATACATGAGAAACAACAAACGTCTTACAGCTTGTTGGAGACAAAACGTGCTTTGGTATTCTAAATGTAACCGAGAACTATTTGTATCAGATATTATGCCTCTTTTTGGCTCATTTCGCTAAATTTCGGATCATCTTTGGACGAATGAATCCCAAACGCATCATCTCGACCCTTACCGTCAAACTTCGGATAAGAATCTCAAACACGTAGTAAGAATACACAGAACAGATATTTCGGTCTAACTTATGCTAAGAAACTTAACATGTAAACAAATAGTAATTTAATGCTATGAGTTGACGACTAAATTTATACCAATACTATCGAGCAAAAGTAGTAGTATTGTTTGGCACTATTGACCTGAGACTGATTTATTTTCGTGAGTCTTTTCGTTAGTTTCCTTAATTTATACTGATTTACCAATTTTATTTTTTGATAGCATAGCCCTTGATTCTTTAATTCTTCATAACGAGAGGATGGCCAAGTGGTTATAATTGTAGCACAACAAGGACAATCTGGTACTTTGTGCAAATTCTGCATGCTTTCATTTTTAATCACATTTAAAAAAGCAAGTGAGAAAAATATGAAAAAATGATACTTACATTTTTAAAATACACCCATTCGTCATCATCACTATAACTACTAGAAGCAACAACAGAGCTCCAAATATTAAGGGCATTACACTTAAATCAATCTTTCCATTCTCTGTTTTGTTTTCATTTCCAATATCGATTTCCGAAGCATTGTCAAAGATTCGGGACCACAGATATTGTTGAGTTTGTAACGGGAGAGAAGCAAATAAACCATTTGTGCAATTTTGCACTGAATTCAGCTTGTCATGTAGGCAAAAGTTAAACTGCGTCGTTGGATCGCCAAATATGCCCTCAATGGTCTTGTTCATCATTGTGATAGTTACTTTGCCAAACTATTAATGAAATGTTGTTCTCTGAAAAAAAGGAGAAAACACGAAAATCTTGATAATAATTTTTTAATTATGTAAACTCTACCGGGATAAAAAGAAGATTATTTGCCAGTCTGTACTTTTCGACGTAACTTTGCCATTTTTTTTATCTTGGAGTGCATTCTTTATGATTTGCGTTCTTTTACGCATTTGATTGTCTGACATAATCTATAAAGAATATTAAGCATATTTTGATATTTTCGTCTTAAGTTAGTTTCCAGTGCAAAGTCATATAGAAATGATAGCCCAGTTTGCATAACAATGCCATAATAAATTCTTGTAGGGTTATTTATTTTGAAAAAAAAAGTATTGTAAAACAGAACTTAAATATCTGAGCATTTAAATAGCAAGTTAAAGAACTATCCTGTAGATTTTAGTTTAGAACTATCCTTAACATTTTATTTTAGAATGACAAATGAGATTCCCAGATCTCATTTTGTAATTTTAAAACGTCAAATGAAAGCTCTTCTTATATTCAGTTCTTCTCTGTAAATTTTACAGCAAGTCAAACTGAAAACAGATCGACCTTCGATCGGAATAAAGTCGGACGAATTAAGACTGCTACTCGCATTTACAAATAGAATGTTCAAATCCATATTTTGAGGAGGTTTCCTGCAAATATTATTTCTTTCCAACATTATATTAAAATGACTGTGTTTTTCATTCTGATTTTATGAAAGGATCACTCCTTCACTTTCAAATTAAATGCAAATTTGCGAACGATATGGATATTTTCTACAAAATCAAGGACAAAACGTTTATATTTCTGTATCAAATTCCGTTTTTATACAAAATACAGACTTCCCTCTACTTGTATTTGAGTGGTTATCCTTGATCTAGAGCTGGTTTTAGCATAATTTGCGAAAATCGGCATTGCTTTGTGTACAGAGTCCAGCAAGAAAAACAAATTTAAATGAACGGGTTGTAGTAGTTTAATGCACAGTGTTCAGTAGACAGTATACGGTGTCTAGCAGTCACATTTTTTTTTAAATTTTATAGTCTCTTATGATCTGACAGTCATTCTGATGTAAGGAATGACACAAAACATGTATGTTAACTTCAATAATTACTTCAGGGTTTCTACAGTCATCCAATGAAAAAATTCAAAGACTTTTTAAGAACTTTCTAAGCACGTACGTGCTCCCATTTTTTAAGCATTTTTGTTGCAAATATATCGACACCATATTCAACCTAAGGAGGATAGTTTATTCACCATTTTTTCTTGAATTGTACACATTTTTCTGGCCAAAATTTTAAGGTTTTATAGAAGAACAACAAAGGGTGCATCAAATAGAAATTAGTTCAAAACAACTAAAATTTGTTCTCTTGGTGCTTGAGCAAACATTTCATTGATTATGATATCAAAATGGATCATTTTTTTTTTATTTTGTTAACGTTTTATTTTCACACACTTAGTCAGCTATCATTTTAAATAGTCTTTGTAACATTTTAAGACAGTTAATCAAATTCAAGGGTTTAACACCTTTTTTTTTTACAAATTTTAAATTTA